AGGCGGGACCACGAGTTTCGCGCGTTCTCCTTCACCATGTGGTCTCACTTCAAGGCTGTAAACAATCTCATACTTGATGTCATCTGCAATGACAGAGATGATTTAATCTTTGAGCTAGAGTCCACGTTAAAAAACCTTTCGCATTACTTTCTTAATCCTCTAAAAAATCCAGTAAGTCGCCCGATCCCTAACCGCTGATAAAGGATAAAAATTCTCTAGATAGGACCTCGGTGCAGAATTCAAAGAATGATCCTATTATGCTTGAACCAAATACCCATAAAATTGTATTGTCTGCAGCTTTCATAGAAGAAACCTTACTCCTAAGTGATACATTTAACCTAAACGAGAAAAAAGCCGTCGAGATCCTCCTCGCTTGTAAGCTTTGTCGTTTAATTTGTGCTTCTCAGGTGAAAGCCGTGTTCCAAGCTATCCTGAACTGACTCGTCTATTGATTGCTGTTCAACTTTATTACAAGTCTCACTTACTTTTATTGGACTCTCTAAAAAAATTGATTATGGCAGTCGGAGGCCGCATGTGGTGTCTTTCCTCATCTTCAGAGTGCTCTGTCATCGTCAAAAAGTTTCTTTCTAATTTGCTATCTCAAGGGTTTCTCAAGAATGCCTTAGGTAATTTGTTATAACAAAAATGGATTCAAATTATTTCCATATTTGTATATAATAAATCGTTTTTATTCTATTAGAGGTACTTAGTACATTTGAGCCTTCAAAAGAGCTGGCTCGACTTGAATCGTCTTCTTTGATTGGCCCCCCTTCACATCGTCGCAAGATAAAGCATACTCTTGATTCCATCATCAAAACGCTCTCCTCGTGCATTCTTGTTTGGTCATGCCAGCTCCCGTTCTCTTCTGAAAGCATCGAACTAATATTGAATGAAATGCTCTCCCTTCCTTCGTTTACAAGCTCATTTCTCAAAGACGAAAAATTAGCCGCTCTGGATCGAGATACTAATTCACATTCTATCTTGAATCTTCTGTTCTCCTTGCTTTATTCAATAGAACCCTTCTC